CTTCAGGGCATGTCTGTGCTGTCACTGGTGGACATAACAGGCAGACAGAGCCCAGATGCGTGTTGATTAATTCCAGTAAGCCAGCAGTAGGTTTATGGGCTGGATGGTGGCAGTTATTCTCAGCAAGTCTGTGCCTTTAGTTCCACTGAAATTCTGACTAGTTTCTGGCTGTGAGGCTGGAACCCAAGTTGTTCAGCCTGCAAAACTCCATTTGCCTACTGCTGGCTTGAATTTGGCTCACTAGTAGCTCAAATTCACTTCTTGGCCTCCTGCCAACTTGTCCTGAGCTCCGCCCTACCCTGCCACTGGGGGCTGCTAGATGGAGCCAACCTGCAGCTACTGTGAGTTGGCCCCCACTCCAAAATGGCAACTGGCCAGTTGCCACTTACCACCTCCTGTTTTGATGTCCTTCTCTTCACTTTCCCTGTGGGCTTCAGTTCTTGATACAGATCCTTGCTGGGTCCTGGCAACCCACTTCTTCTTCTTCCTTCTTCTTCTTCTTCTTCTTCTTCTTCTTCTTCTTCTTCTTCTTCTTCTTCTTCTTCTTCTTCTTCTTTTTTTTTTTTGTGGAACTGGGGATTGAACTCAGGCCCTTGTGCTTGCCAGGGAAGCACTTATTCCACTGAGCCATCTCCCTGGCCCCATTCTTCTTTACATTACTACATTCCTGTATGTGGACACAAAATCTTGGAAAGGCTTTCTCTGATGTTACCACTCCGCCAACTTCCCGGAAGTCTATCATTAGCACTTTTGAGCCAGGGTCTCATATGTAGCCTAGGGTGGCCTGGGTTGTTGTACCATAGCCTCTTGAGTAGTGTGATTACAGGCATTTGCTATCATGCTCAGATCTCTTGAACTTTTGAAAGGGAAGTCAGGGCCACTTTCAAACCATATTTCACCTACTTAGCAAGTGTTTGTTGAACATTGATATGCAGGGAGATGGCAGTAAACAATCACACAGAAACCCTTGCCTGCCTGAGCTTACATTGTACAAGAGGGACCTGGATAGAAATGAAACAAGCCAAATAAAACATGCCATTATGGGAGAAAGAAAACAAGGAAGAGGGAATGAGTTTCAGTGATTGGTTTCCAATTAGGACAGAATACAGCTAGGTGTGCCTCCTGAGAACGTGCCGGTGCAGCAAAGGCATAGCTGCTTGGGTTGTGGTTGGACAGAGAAGGCATCCTGCTGGAATCCTTCCAGTCTCAGTACGATGACAAGAATCGCTCTTTTGTTTCTTGTGTACTGTCACTGCTTCTCCTCCAGGAGTTGATTACAAGCCCAAGCGATGCCTAGGACTCCTCCAGTGCATGTATACTAACCTCTAGCTTCACGCCCCCCCTTGCCAGATGGCTGTTCTGGAAAACTTTGAAATATCCACCTGACTGGCTCCTCGGAAATAAAGCAAGAGCTCTTTGCTCTAAGACTTACAAACTTATTAAGTCACCTGTTCCAACTCCATAAATAAATGGTGCAACAAAGTTATTGTGTGTTTCTTTTTTCTAAACATTCTAAGTAGAATCTGGATAGAGATACAGGTATAGATCCAGATATAATCTGTCTGTGTGTTTGATTTTGGTGTCGGGGATTGAACCCAGGGCTTCATGCATGCTAGGTGCATGATCTACCACTGAACTATGCCCCCTGGTCCCAGGTCTGTGTATTTTACATTTGGTTTTTAATGATTAGTCTGTTAACAAGTTAGTAGGTGCTCACTGAATGCAAATCATTGTACAGGGAACTTAGGCATACGTATTATAGAAGTGACAGTTTGGGGGCATTTATTGCCTGATAAGACTGACATTTCACCACAATATTGAATGGAGTTCTGAGGAGATGTGGAGATTAGGTAGCTGGGTGTTGTGGCACTTGTGTGAAATCCTAGCACTCTGGGTGGCTAAGGCAGGAGGATCACAGGGCTGGTTTTTTTTTTTTTTTTCGGAACCAGGGATTGAACTCAGGCCCCTGTGCTTGCCAGGCAAGTGCTTATTCTACTGAGCTATCTCCCTGGTCCCAGGACCACAGTTTTGAGTGCAGCTTGAATAACCTAGCCAGCCTGAGATTTATAGTGAGTTTAAGGACACATTGAACTACATACCAAGACCCTGTCTCCAAAAAAAGTTAAAATTAAAAAGCTATGAGGCAGAAAAATGCCTAGAATTCTGGGAACATAAAGGGGTTAATGTGTTTGTAAAGATATGATTATGAGAAAGAGTAGAAGGAGAAGAAGGGCATGGTGGTGCATGACTTTAATCCTAGGACTCCAGAAGCTGAGGCAGGAGGATTGCCATGAGTTCAAGGCTAGTTTGAATTATATAGTGAGAACTTGTCTCAACAAAACAGTAACAGCAACAGAGCTGAGTATGGTGGTGCATGCCTGTAATCCCGGCACTTGGAAGGCTGAGGCAGGAAGATTGCCGTGAGTTCCAGGCCAGCCTGGGCTAGATTATGAGTTCAAGGCCAGTCTGAACTACATGGTCCCTGTTTCAAAAACAAACACAACAACAAAACACCACATGTAATAGTAGCTATCACTAAGACTACTATAGACAGTATGTATTTAAATTTACAATATCATGTCAGGCATGGTGGTGCACAACTGTAATCCTAGCACATGGGAGGCTGAGGCAGGAGGATCATTGTGAGTTCAAGAGCAGCCTGTGCTACAATGTGAGCTCAAGGCCAGCCTGAGCTGTGTGGTGAAAGCCTGTTTCGAAAGGACTATGTATAGGGCCGGCCAGACAGCTCAGCAGATTT